TTAACTCAATACACAGCAAAAATAACTTAGTTTCCGTTCTTGCGGAAACCTAATGGATACTGGGTAATGTAGGTTTCCGCTAGGTTTCAGTATCCGGAAACAGACAATGCGAGTTTCCGCATAAATTACAAAACTGAAACTAACAAATCTAGGTTTCCATCAAGTTTCTACAACTGAAACTATCATTATGCGTTTCCATTTAGTTTCAGTTCGCTGAAACATTCATAGCAAAATGACTTAGTTTCCGCTATTGCGGAAACCTATTGGATACTGGGTAATGTAGGTTTCCGCTAGGTTTCTGTTGGTTTCAGCTTAGATGAAATGTCAAACTTAGCTTAATGATATACCCACTGGATTATAATCAGTTATTACTCTCAAAACATCACTACATAATATATAAACACTACACTATAAACACTATAAACACCATATAACCCGACAAAACCAAAGTCAACAAAAGCAGTACAGCACCTGTAGAACCTGTAAGTTTACAGGCAATTACTCTCAAAACATCACTACTTAATTATCTAAACACTACCGGGGAAGTCGACAATAGTGGTACAGCACCTGTCTACAAACCGGGACTCAGTTTGTCCACTTCCCGGGCGGACACCCTCACAATCACATGCAAATGCTCATAAATATCTCAAAGCGCTCGATAAAGCTAACGCAGCACACCCCGGGAACCAGGCTGGAAATAGTGGGGAACGACAGCACTTTATCGACCGGTCCTCTGTCAGTGACTATCGGAGGTGTTCGGTGGAAAAATCAATAAAAAAAGCGACCTGACTACCAGCAACCGCACTGTAGTGTAATCTAAAATGCATGAACAAAATACAAATTTGGTTTTCTGATGCATAATCAACAGATCATAACGCATCTTTCAAATCTGACAGATGCCATTGTCACTGACCGAGGTTCATCCTGGCACACGTGACACAATCGAATCTCAAGGTGAAGGTCATTTGTTCTCAACAACTTGTATATACTGTATGTGTCTTTGACACCCTAGGCGTCGGCTGTCGACGCGAAGATCACTGGCAGTGCTGGGATTGTTTTAGCTGTAGAGGAGGCCGTAATGAGTATGTCGTGTAAGCAAGGAACCCGCATCAACTTTCCCTGCGCTGTAGCTGAGACGGGATCTAGGTAGGTCTGTGTTGATCGCTGCGGCTGATAACGGTTCCATGGTTTCATAATGGTGCTTGGCAGTCGGCCTATGGCGTTGAGCTGTTGGTAGTCAGGGCATGTTTTCACTGGTCCCACAATTGTGATTGAAGGGAAATGAAAACTCCTTGTTTTTATAGCCCAACAATATATTTCATGTTGGCTGTTTTGCCGCCTGGATTGTGTTGCGTTTTCCCCGCTTGTTCCATGGGTGTTTTATTTATCGTATTTCACTCTACAAACCACTCGCGATGCATGTTAAAAGAGAAATTCATGGTATCCACAGTGTATGAATACTGACTTTAAAGACTGTACCTAATAAGTGTAGTATCATCAGCAAGTAATATACATGGCAATCTAACATCATCTATACGGGACGGGGGGATAGCCTAGTGGTTAAAGCGCTGGCTCGTCACGCCGAAGACCCGGGTTCGAATCCCAACAAGGGTACAATGTGTGAAGCCCATTTCTGGTGTTCCCGCCGTGATGTTGCTGGAATATTGCTAAAAGCGGCGTAAACTCAGTCAGTCAGTCAGTCAGTTATCTATACATATGCCAGTGTCTACCTGCCGGAGCTCAGGTTTGAGGTCATTTATGTACACAAGAAATAGCCAAGCTGAAATAACACTACCCTGACCGATGCCTTGTCCCACAGAAAAAGTATCAGACTGTTCACCCTTATACTGAACACATGCTCACATTGATGTGTAGCAGTGACATAACAGAGATCACATATCACCTCTGGTGGGGGCATACAAGATGGGGGAGAGTGGTGGGGGTCACTCGTTTTGTTCTGGGGAGGTAGGGGGTCATTGGTTTTGTACACAAGAACTAGGGGGAGGGAGGTGGCAGTAATTTTGTACATAGAAAATATTTTAAAGTATGGGAAGGGGGGGGGTCACTTACTTTGCGCATACATTGGGGGGGGGGGTCATTCACATTGTACGTTGCTTCTCCATAAAAACCATAACACCATCTCCCACTCCCAAGTCATAAATTATAAACGGACCCCTACGTATAGTGTTCGCAGAGACTCATAAAACGTATTCACATCGGTTACACGGGTATTTTCTAGGTCCAAGTACAGATTCTAAGTGTGGCGACGTCGGAATTCTCGCTTGACCTGCTTATACGATTTACATGAATTGAAGTTCTCCCCCCTCGGTTTATCCTCGCACAACCATCGCCGCCTTTCAACGCGCATGTTAAACTGTTTTCAATTAATCATTAATACATCCGAGATGTTTTAACATATCCCCCAACCTCCACCCCAAAAATTAATGTGGAAAATATTGCTGCGTGCAGTGAAGTAAAAAATCATTACTGTAAAATATAG